TCTGTGTTTCAGAGATATGTCCCTTTGCCTCTCTTTTGTAGAGACACTTATAACAGCATCTAGGTCCCATCCTGATAATCCAGGCTTATCTCTTTATCTTAATAACCTTGACTTAATTGTTGTCGTTAACTGCCATTCAGTCGTCCCCTCACTCACGGCAACCCTATACATAAGGGAACAAAAATACTGCACTGTCCTGCGCAATCCCTCTGATGGATTGTGGATCAGACCATTGGGATCCATAGGGTTTTCACTGGCTGATACTTGGAAGTAGATTCCCAGGTTGTCTTCCTAGTTTATTTTAGTCTAGAAGTTTTGTTGAAAGCTGTTCAGTATCATAGAAACACACAAGCTTCCATTCACAGATGGTGGTGGCCATGCATGAAGTGCATTGGCTGGGAATTGTACCCGGGTCTCCCACATGGAAGGCAAGAATTCCACCACTGAACTACCACCGCCTCCTCCCCCTTAGTGTGATGACATCTGCAAAAGTCCTTTCTCTAAATAAGGTAACATTTACAAATTTCAGGGACTAAGATTTGATGTCTTTGTATGCCATTGTTCAACCTACTACAACTGATTTTTAAAAGTAAAATATTTTATTTTAAATATATGAAGACTTTAACTCTTCTCTACTCCATGAATGTGTAATATTCAGTTACAATGGTCTAAAAATCAGAACTTTAATAATGTTTTAATTTTGGAAATACATTTGTCTCCCTCCACCACCATCTTTAAACTGAGGGCACTGGTGGTCAAGTGGTAGAAATCTCACCTACCATGTGGAAGACCTGAGTTTGATTCACAGCCAATGCATCTCAAGGGCAGTAACCACCCTTCTGTGACTGGAGGCGTGCATTTCCATGATGCTGAACAGCTTTCAGACGTGCTTCCAGACTAAATAAATAATATCAAGTTAGGCTTCAGAATATAGAATACTTGAATCTCTACCCAAAGGTATACAAAGCAATCTAATCTATCTTGTTTTTTTATCAAACGCCTTTCCTGCATCTGAATAGTCATGTGTTTCTTTGAGCTCGTAATTAGTAGCTCTGTAACCATCCATGTTTATCTGGCATTTGAATGCCATAACTTTCATATAGCCCTGAGCACCTGGCTGAAGGAATTATGATCACAGTGTTTTAACGACTCAGTCTCAGGCAGGCTCCAACCAGATCACCTTGTATAAGAAGTCAAATGAACATAAGACTGTGGCTTAATATGTCTTAGTTTTCTTCCTAAACTAGAGATTAATTGAAACCAGAGACTATATGGTATACTTATCTTTCTCTTTGGGAGTATTTTCTTAAAAATGAATATTTATTGATAAAGGGATTGATCGATTGTTCAGGCTTTGTCCTACAAGTTTAAAAGAGAAAAATCCTCCTTACTCTGTAAAAGATAGCATGTAAAGATCCCCAACTTGCACAAAGACCCTTTTAAAACCAAAAAAAAGCAAACCCGTTGCCACTGAGTCGATTCCAACTCATAGCGACCGTATATGACAGAGTAGAACTGCCTCATACGGTTTCCAAGGAGCAGCTGGTGGATTCAAACTGCTGGCCTTTTTGTTAGCAGCTGAATTCTTTTTTTTT